TGAATAAGGAGGTGATATAGTGTAACGGGTTAACCTCATGAGAACTTCCTAGGTCAGTGTTTCAGTTTCCTCAGATCAATAAGGCTTTAATGGACCTGTTTAATGCTCAATGTACTTCATGGGATTAGGGGAATTACATGGGTAAGTCAGTACCATACAAAATATTTGAAATTATTGAGAGCTTTCGGTTATCAAAGTGGTTATTCTCCCTTAGAGAGGGGGGTGCAGGGGGAGATCCCTGGGTAGAAAATTTGATTATTTACTTGCATGATTGCTGGGGGAATTCATCATCTCAAGAAAAGTTTCTTGGAAGTAGTTTTGTTCGCTGTGGTGCTTCACCACCACCTCTTGCAAAATTGTTGTACATCTGTCTCCTCAAACTCAGCTACTAAAAATTCGTTGCTGAACTCGCTATTGTCTTACTTTGTTTTCGGGCAAATTTTGGCTCTGAGTGGTGTTATGTGTATTCTTACTTCTATTATATATTGTTGTCTAAACAGGTACAACCAAAATAAAAACTGCATAGTAAAAATACGCCTTTTGACAGTGTTATTTGTGAATTCACATAAATGTATGTGTACCATGCATAGTTATTTGATTTTCTATGTATTATGGCATTTTGGATAACAAATGGCATTTGGCTTTGAGCTCCTGAGTACATTTGGTATGGAGATACGTAACATTAGCTATTTGCTTCAGGCCACAGATAGTCAAACTTGTTATAAAGCAGAATTTTACTATTGCCTGGTATTTTGTGGGTTGGAGGATTTATGGGTTAACAAGCCATATGACTTTCATTTCTAGACTTACTCTACAGCAGTTAAAGGCTAGGTTGGAGGTGACCTTGTACTGTTGGAAAAAGGCTGATCTTGTCTTGGAGCCTGAAGAGCCGTGTACTTTCCTTATTTCTGTATGACTTTTGCCAGATAATTTCCAAGATTGGCATATTAGCTTCCTTGTTTCCAGAATTTTAGAAAACTGGTCTGCTTCATGGGAATATGAGGCAAAACTACAGTGAAAATGTAAGGTTCTCAGTTAATACATTTTCTGTTATTAAAAACAAATTATTAGAAACTGTAAGGTGGTAGAAAACAGAATAACTATGTGTTATATTTTACCTGGAAGCATGTAACGGCATTAACATGTCTGGTTTTTTTCTGGTTTTTAGTTCGTTCTGCAAAAGTATTGAGGGGATGGGGGGTGTCCAAACTGTAAAAAAAAAAGGGGGGGATGGGAAGCACATTCCATTCCCGTAGTTGATTTGCACAGTAGTTGGACTGTTAATTACCATGATGCTGGCAGAAAGAATCTTTAGAATGCAGTTGCTTTTTTATTGCTTTTGCAGAAAGATAGTAATTTCAATTTTTTTCTGTTCCTAAATACTTCTCAATAGGTTTCTAAGTCGCTTCCTCTAGGAAAAATGAAGAGTTTGAGATGCTTTATGAAAGTTGCTATCTGTTGGTCTCTTGAAGTAGAACATCAGCTTTGCCAGGACTATTTGTCCTGTTTTTCCTTCTGTACCTTAAGGAATTGCATTTAATAGACTGAGATTTACTGCTTTTTAAATTCACAGGACTGTGCTAAAGAATAATGACTTGAGATCAAGACAAGAATTAACTACTCACCTCACCAATCAGTGGCCTTCCCCAGGAGCTCTGGATGTCAATGCTGTTGCCTTGGACACTCTACTCTATAGAAAGCACAATCAACAGTGGGACGAGTAAGTTGAATATTTACTTTGATTCACCTTTAGAGGAACAGGGAATCTCAAAATTACACATTTCCCTTAGCATGCCCTGAAATGGAATCCTGTTGGAATTACCTGTTACAATGTGCAAGGATCAGCTGGCAAAAAAAGTAGTTTCTCTTGCTTAGCATAAAAATTTCCTTCCTTTGGATTAATTTAAAAAAAACAAAAAAGGAAAGCATTGCTTTAGGGGAAAAAAGTGTTTTAGGAAGCAAACAAATGAAAAAATGGAGTGTTTATGAGAAGGAAGATTAACTGCCTAGGGGTTTTTTAGAAAACTTTTTAAGGAGAATTGAAGATACCTAGTTAGATCTTTAAATGTGTTACTATTAAATATTACTTGCTTTGCAGGAAAAGTTTTCAAAGTCTGGACCAACTTTCAGCAGAAGTTAGTCTTTCTCAGTCCTCTCTGGATCCAGGTCATTCGCAGGACGGGAAGCAGGATGGAATGAACTTGTTAAATGAAGGTACAGAGCCAGTATAGGGGCCTCATTTTTTTTTTGTTTTCATTGCTCTGATCTTGTGAGGTGAATTTTCAATGTGAACAAAATATGCATTGAACAGCATATTTTTTCATTGTTATGCAAACTGTTTCCATTTTCCTATGGACTATACTTCAAATAAGTTTGGATTTATGAAGATGCCCACCCACCCCACCCCCAATAATTGTAAGACTTTGTGCTGTATTTAAAGCTAAGCTTCAAATATGTTGCATATCGTCCTTCTCCATCACAGAACCGGAGACAGCTCGGCTACAAGGAGGATCTTCTGCCATCTTTCTGATAGAACTAACTCAAATATTTTGAGTTCTTTAAGTTTCCTGGTTTTATTTCTTAAAAGAAAAATTAAAGGCACTGGGTTTGCAACTCCCACTGAATTCTTACATCTTGCATTTTTCATTTATATGTGGAGATGCAGCCTGGCAGTGTTTCTATTAAAACAGAGAGAGTAACACGATATGAACCATGCTAGAATATAAATTTAATATACGTACAAACACCCCCTTTCGAAATCTGTATGCTTATTACAGTTGAGCTGCTCCATCTTGTGGGCAATTGTGAAAAGCAGAAAAATGCTGGAAGACTTCTGAAATAGTAGTATATTTTGTACAGAAGGTATATTGCTATTAAAAAAAATCCTTTTTGTATTTCATCAAATGTTAACTTTAAATAGACTTGACAATAAAGAGTAGTAGAACTTAGTAGTTAATAACTGAAAAATTTCTTGGGTTTAAAATTTCAAGGATGTAAAATTTAGAACTTTTTAAAAAACTGTAAACAGTCTTAAACAGTAGATTATTTCAAGTTAGAGAAAGTGAAATAGAATCAGCATGGCTAGTATGAAGAGAGTTCTTCTGCACATCTGCTTTCAACTGTTTTTTTTTCCAATATTAATCATTTGAAGTTATGCTTTATCTTCTGTAAATTAAGGTGTGGCAAAACCACTGATAATAATAGTTTAGGTTTTGATTTCAAGACTCTGTCTTTAAAGATAGCATAAGATCTCACTTCTAAATTACTGAGGTTCATTGTACCTAAGCTTTAGTAGAATTTTGTGAGACACGGCACGTGGTCCTGCTGTTCAGATACCTCTAGTCTAACTCTCAGTATGGCAGTTTTAATTAAAAGATTAGAAGTAGTAAACTTCCACATTCCTATTAAGTCCACTCATGTACTCAGATTTTTAGCTTCACACTTGTTGAAACCAAGGCTGTGCCCAAACAGTGATACACAGCTCTCTTGTGTATTTTATGTCCTCAAATTGAATGTAGTCTTTAAAGGGTAGTTTTTATGAGAATAAAGATTTTTGTAAAAGTGAAGATTTTTTTAAAAGAGCTAATCTAGTTCATTCCTTAGGGAAAGCTATTCAGTCATTTGAAAAAAGCTCGGTAGAGGTGAGACCTAAAATCTACTGGAAACTGCTAATAAGAACTGTAAATGATGCAAGAGAACTACATCTCAGGTTTTTTTTTCATAACGAATTGTTGGCCATGGCACGGTTGTTTTTTTCTTACATCATTCTCATGAGAACAAAACTTTTCTGTCAGGAACAGGAGACGTAATTTTAAGAAATTCTATTTTATGGATGTGATTTTTAAAAGTTCTGGTAGCCTGGCTTATTACGCCTATGAGTTTTTTAAGTTGATTTTAATCTCTAGTTTAAGGTGATCTTTTCTGTTCTGCAGGTGAGCCAGGGGGATGAAACAGGGAGACGCCGGTAGACCAAATTCTTTATCATGTAATTTATTAGCGGAGTTGGCAGAAAATAACTTGAACGGATATGCTGAGAAGGGAAGACACAAAATCACAGAATCACAGAATGTTCGGGGTTGGAAGGGACCTCTGTGGGTCATCTAGTCCAACCCCCCGATAAAATAAATATAAAAATTATCCAATGCAGTCTTACACCTGTAGGTGTGTTTCCTATTAACTCTCAGGTGCATTTGGATGAGAGGGCAAACACTTTCCCTGCCACTTTGCCACTGTAGGGCTTTTTCCAGTGGTCAGAGCCTGAGGTGCTTCAAAACCAAGGATTCAAAAACAAAACGTGTTTATTTTTGAAGAAATATATCCTGATTCCATTTAATTCTACTCCTTTCTGAGGGATTCAAAATTAGGTCTCCGGTACTGATGTTGTGTTAGTAACGTCACTTCCATTTATAGATGAGATACTCGACTAAAACCAGCGCCTGAATTTGCAACTGCTGTTCTCCGTGGAGTCAGCGGAGCCTCTGAACCTCCCTCTGTAGGAGCCTGCCTGTGACGCACGGGCAGGGATCTCTCTGCCACCTGGACGGGGAAGGGAGGGTGTAAATGACGTGTCTTCCTGATTGCGTTTATCAAGTGTGCATGTGCTGAAGCAGTAATTCATAACAGCATAGGTGGAACAGTTTTTCTGTTCCCTCATTTGTCTGTGGTCAGGCCATCCTGTGCTGTAAAAATGATTAGCTTGGTTCTTGTTTTTCTTAACAGGGAAGGAAGACACTCCGTCGTTGCTTGGTCTTTGTGGCTCTCTCACTTCAGTAGCAAGCTACAAATCTCTCACAAGTCTGAAATCCAGTGAATATCTTGCAAGTCCCACAACAGAGATGACGAGTCCAGGCTTAACGCCATCTTGAGATGCACACAGGAAGGAAGAGCTTTGTGTTGTATGCATTTGGTTTGTGTTCCATAAAATGACTTGCAATGAGGACCGCTAGTTTTAAGTTAAAAAATACGCTGCTTTGTTTTTTCTTTTCATGGTTTCCTGTTTAATTCACAAATTCTGTCAGTTTTCATTTTTTCCCCCCAGAGGACTTTTCAGATTTTCTGTTTTGGTCTTGAATTATTTCAAGCTCTTAGTCAGGTATGGGACATATAATCAGATGCTTATGACTGATTTCTAAAATGAAACAGTTGGAAATCAGTCCCCTAGTTAACTGCCGTGACCTTTGTTTCTCCTTGCAATGGCCTGGCCCTACTCTAGCCACGGTGCTTCTCTGCAGTGCTTTAAATACCTGTCAACTCTTGCAGAGCAGACAGGGAATCCTGAACGCCAGTCTTTGTAGGCAAATAAATATTTTACCTAAAGATCCAGCTTTTCATCTGTGTATGTTGCGTAGGACCTCAGACAGCACATTTAACCTGTCGGCAGCTCTTCCCAAGCATTAGATTTTGCATTCCCGATAGCATCATGGCACTTAGGAGGTGTCCGAATCGCACAGAAGAATCGCACTGGAACGCTCATACTAATTCTTGAAGTTGCATGTGAATAACAAATGTAAGTTGATCATCTAAATCAAGCATACTTAGCGACTGGTAAAAGTTGAGGAAACTCGCTAAATGCCTGGGAGTGACCCGAGTTACAGATAATCGAACGTTATGTGAGAAATTTCGTGGTTTGTTGGCCTCGCTGGAACGAAGGGGGCTGAGGGTGGTAGGGTTAGCACCGTGGGGAGCTTGGATTCTGTGTTTGTTGGCAAGATCCTGAGGAGAGCGGAAAAGGGGAAACAATGACAATGTAATGACAGGATTCTCATGTTAAAGATTTTTCTCATTCCTGTAGTAGTGCAATAGGTATTTTTCTTGATAAGGTAATACAACAGAACTGATTTAAGTCAGTTTTCTCGAATTACTTGCCATTGATTTAAATTACTGGTAGGGAGGGGGGAAAAAAAAGGGAGACATTTTTTTAAATGAAATTAACGTTCCAGATTACCCTACAGTTTCAAAGTTTGCAAATTAATTTTTGAATTGCAAACTATGTTCTTAATTCTTTGTAAGATACAATGGGTTCTTTATCTATGAATTTTGCTAATCAAGGTAATGCTTATCGGTATGATTAGTAACTTTTTAAACAAAACTTAAATGCATGTAAGTATGTTGTATTTATAAGTGCTAGGGAAAATGCTTTTTTGTGCCAAAGAAGTTTCATAAATTGTTTACATGAGTAGCTGCAATACAAGACAGATTTTTACTTATTGCTTACTCTTGGATGTTTACAGTCTCTCACTACACTCTGTATGGTTTGAGTTGATTTGCCTCTTGTAATGGTACCTTGGCACTACTACTACAATCTGGTCATCTTAGGGTGGGCTTGAAAGAACAAGGACTCATTCCTACCTTTACTAAGAACTGCAGGAAGTGGTTAGCCTGGGACTAGGAGGCTACGCGTCTCTGGAACTCAGCACGTTGCTGGACTTAGCTGGAGGAGCTTAGGACACATCTACACAACTCTCCAGTCTGCAGCGCTGGCGGTTACTGCATCCGTGGCAGGGTAGGCAACTACCGATGCCATTTTAATGCAGGTTTTTAAAGCAGCTTAGCAAAAATCCACCAGACCTTGTCTTTCAAGCCCTCGCGTACCCACCCAGTTAATTTCTCTGTAATAAACTGACCATTAAATCCTTTCATACGCTGTCAGCATGTCCATTACTTCATGTAACTGCGGTGTTTTTGTTATCACATTGAGCACCTGTTCCCTCACGGCAGTTGAGTAACATTATGAAATAGTAATTTGTAAAATAGAGATGCATTTTTACTACAAATACAATGAGGGAATCCAGATTCCACAAGTTACGTTCTGCATCAAGGTACAGTGACTTGCTTGGTCTCGTTTGCCGTTAAAACGCTTCTCCCGCTACGTCAGCATTTGGGAGGGGGCTACAATCATGATCTCCAGTCATGTTCGCTGATGGCTCTTTTCTTGGAGCTACTGGTTTGAAATTCACCTGTCATTGAACTGCAGTCTTTTATGTAGTCTGACACCATGGTGGGTTTCTGGGTGTCATTTTGTGCATGGGAAATGAGTTGTGGGTGTCTTTATCAGTTCTAAACATTAATCATTTTTCCAAAAAAAATGAAAAAAAATGCCAAACCTGTATGTTTTGTTGCCTTGACGTTCCATAAATGTTGCATGTAAATTAAACATTTTGTATCATCGCTAATTACTAGTTTTTGTCTCTGTTTTAATCACACAGGATAAAATAAGACCATTCAGTAAATTAACAGTATTGCTGAGCTTACAGCAAATTCTTTTCTTGCAAAACACGGAGACTTTGTTGCTGTACTTCATTCACTCTGGTCCAACACCTGCTGCTACTGCTTTCTTTGAGGCCTTATTTTGAGGGAGTAGTGTAAAATTACTGTGAAAATCGCAATGGGGGAACACTGTCAAGTATCTCCTGCAGCAGTGCCTCTTGCCTGCGCTGTGTGCTGTCACGTACCTAATGTCTTTACAACTGGAGCATTTTTGAGCGTGCGGTGAATTTTCCCCAAGGCCAAATGCATGCTGGGCTGCCTTCATAGCAGAACAGGACTGAAGTCCAGCTCTTGGGTAAAGAACAGCCGAAAAGGGGTGTCTTGATGACCCTTTGTACCAGTACACACCCTCGTTAAAATACACAAAAAATAAAATTCAACCACTTTATTGAAACTGCATTAAAGAAGGGATGTAGTGAGGGTAGTTAAAAAATAGTAATACCCAACAAAATACAGAGGAAGCTCTGATTCAGCAAGTCAAGTGCAAGGGAGATGCTGCAACTGTTGGTACGACGCATGTGCAGCACACCGTAACAGACAGCGGCTGCGTCTGTAGTAACAAACTAAATGTGCTTTTGCCTTCAGATGGAGTTGAACTGGCATGGAACCACCTCTGCCTGTGGCAGCAGACTGGGCCTTCACTGTCAGGTTGACCCCACAGAAGCTGTGCACGGGGCCCGGGCCCAGCAGGGAGCCTGGCCCTGCCTTGGAGCTTGGTGATGGTGACAGCTCGCACCTCCCAAACACCTGCACACCCGGTCAGGCAGTTGGCTTCAGTGCCTGCGTGGGCCTGCATTTCTTAGGGCGTTACCTTAAACTGAAAAGCCGCTGCAGCACCCATCGATGTGCTCACCATGCTCTCTGGGTTTCTGATGAGCACGAGGTACTTTTTCCAGTTTAACCTAAAGCATCTTTCATTTTAAATAAGCCTGAGACGAAGCTGAAGACTATTTGTAACATGTATTTACACAAAATACAGAGCTGCAAATAACAAAATGCACAGAATTAAACACGTGAGAATAAATGAATTCATTCTATATCAACCTCCTTATGGAGCAATAATCATATCGTACAATTGGAAGCCCAAAACATTTTCTAAAAATCATTTTAGATACCCAACAACAATCTTTAGTCAGACTAAAAATTAACACAGCAGCAGTGGTTATTCTTCAGTGCTCCATCCATCATCACAGTCAGAGCACCTTTCTTTTTTTCTGTTCTCCCTTCCCTTCTTTTTTCTCTAGCTGTAAAAGAAGTCACAAAATCTTCAGTAATAGTTTCTATTTTGAATATTTGATATATTTTGAATATTTGATATTTTCTTAGTCTTAAGAAAAAAGAAAAAGTGAATTCACCCTTTGTGAAGCAGTTAAAAAGGAAGCTGTATTTAGTTACCAAATGTAATGGCAGAAATTCACTGGGAATTCTAGAAAACACCTTGACAGATTCAAATTTGGCACAATATATTTCACCATATATTTTGACTTCATGCAATCGGATGAAGGAGAATTAAGGACATTGGTTCGTTTTTTCATTTAAATGAGAAAAGAAAGACTTTCCATATTCATATATGTTGATCATGATGGCACAAGCAGGAGCAACTTTAAACAGCCGTGGCACAATACCTGCCCGGAAGAGAAGGGAAAGTAGTCACGATTAAGCATCTGTTTTCAGACGGAAGCACTGCAGTACCACTTAGTGGTCACGACACGTTGATACCGCAGCGTATCGGCGTAGAGCCGGGCTTCTGCCTGTCCGCATTCCCCAAAATACTGGAATTACTGGCTGCAGGCATGACCGCTGTGGCCATGGGGGTGGAGCCCCTTGCCCCGCGGGGCTGCTCTGCCCCAGCACAGATGGGGTGGCCCTGGGCACAACCTGCGAGCCCTCCTCAGGGTGTCAAGTGCAACCTCCCTGCTCTGCAGGACGAGCAGAGGCTGGTGACCTCCGGTGGGACGACGAGAGGTCCAGGAAGCCCTGAGCGCTGGAATGGATACAGTTAGGGAGGAAGGGGCTCGGGAACCGTGCTGGGCTGTGCCCTCTGCCATAGGTGCGGGCCTCCACCCTTCAAGCCAACTGCTCGGTAAAAAGCACGATTCCCCTGCTGCTGTCTGCTGGGACCTACAGCACCTTTACTGAAACGGAAGGAGCCTGCTCTCGTCTATGAACGACAGAATTTTGGCATTAAATGCCTCCCATGACAATCAACTGTGATCTTGTCAGTGGAGTTTAGGAAGTGACTCAGTTTAGCTACAGGTAGGAAAATAAGGCTGAATCCACGCATCTGCACACACCCATCTCCTTCCTCTTGAAACGCAAAGGCGCCTGCGTGGACCTAGTGCAGATGACGCATGAGCTACGGCAAACTTGTGTCGCTTTGGAACAGCAGCAGGAAGCCAGGTGGAAAGTCCCGTCATCTCACTTAGGTGTGGGCGACTGAACTGAGACAGGGGCTGATCAAGAGGACGTCTCTACACCCCGCTACTCACACGTCAAGAGCTAAAAGTAGGTATCCGAAGCTATGACCTAAATTCCACCCAAAATGTCTAACGCTATTGATACTTTGTCGTGTCTTGCATTCTGCTGACAGTGCAAATCCTGTTACACAGCTATGTCATCACTGTACAGGAAGTAAAGCAATTTAATCTCTTTCAGCAAACACAAGTCTTGCAAGCAGCTGTGTAGCCATTCACACGAAGGACCCCACAGAACCCCGGCAGTGCTGTCAAGACTGCAATGTACCCTGGGTTTGGAATGTCTCTTGCAGTTGTTCATTGAAGTATGAGCTACTGCAGGCTTTTATCTCCGTATTGTTTTAATCTCACTGTCTTGTCGTTTCCCGCTTAAGCTGCCAGAGGCACACATGACAACATGTGTGCATTATGAAGGACAGAGCATTGCCCCAGCCGTTCCACGGAACAGGACAGCAGCGGCCTCGCCCCACGGGTAGACTTGCTGAAGACAGAAGGACCTGGGAATCTCTTCCCCTGCAGCCTGGGAGATGGGCGTGGGGGGAGCTGAACTACACGTGCTAGGGAAGTAAGCAGGCGCAGGGCAGCTGGGAGATGAGCATCCTGAGGTGGACACAGAGACAAACATTTTATACGCCTTCAAGGCTGAATTTTCAGTCTCCTGTTGCCATACATAGAAAGGAGGATATTCAAAAACAAAACACTTTAAACACAGTTTAGTTAAGAAGTGATACTGGGTTAGTCTGGTGATACTTGGGCTAGTAAATTATTGCTAGAACTACCTGAATGTACGTATTCAGCGAAGGCAAAGTTTCACCCCCAGGTAAAGATTTGCTTTTGTTTAATGAATGATAGTTGTACTTCACAAAAAGATATGAACCAGTAATTAGAATTCTTGAGGATGTGTAATCAGCTTGAACATTAACACAGTGACTATCCATTTGGACTGTCACGTGAGGCTGGAGACTCATTCTCTCAGCTCCTGTCACATGTGGCAGCAATCCCCGACTGCCTTTGTGCATACTCAGGTACACAGAGTGGGAAATGCCTAGCACCGCCTGAGCTTCCTCTTAATTCTCATTCGGCCACAACACAGGAAAGGGAGAGAAGGTAGATACAGAGCACACTTGTGGATGGCAGGTCTCGAAGAACTCCATTAACCAATAATCACAGCACAGCATACATGTGCACTCCCAAAGTGTAACACGGGAACCTCCATATTCATATTTACTTGGGTCTGAATCGTAGACTGAGCAGCGTGAAGCAAAACTTGTAAGCATTCACCATGAAATGCATTTCTTTGAATGGTGGAAGAATGTCCAGTTATAGGTAGGTTGGAGGAACTAGGAACCTCATACCAAGCCACCATCCAGGAAAAAATACTGTATTTCATTCACTGTGGGCTGAAATGACTGCAGACCTCTTGCTAAACGCCCTGATGTTTGTTAAGACAAACTTGATGATGGTGATGAACCACAGAGAAGCACAAGTATTTTGGAAAGTCAGATATAAAATATCACTTTCTGTAAGGTACAAAAATAAACACCTAGAAGAGCCAAAGGAACATACCAGCGTCTTTCTCAAATGGCTCCGTAGCCACCATACTACTGCGCTTCAACCCATGGATGAAAACTTTCGGCCTTCCCCATTCAAATTGTCCCCAACACCCCCATTCCTCTATGAAATACCAAGGCATAGACAAGTCTACTTTAAAAATGCCTTCCATTCAGAACACAAACATTTCCACTTCAGGCAGACTCTCACAGAAAGAAGAAATAATGTATTGAGAGACTGAAAAGAAACAAGTTATATGCCATAAAGTTCTTTGTGTCTCAAGAGCTCAAGGTATCTGCTGTGATGTTTAGTAAGTTGTAGGGATCTATTCCAACATAAAAGAGAAAGAAATGAGAAGAAGAGAAAGAGGGAATGGCAATCGTGAGAAGAATAATTGGAACCTCCCAATGGAATCTTCAGGTTTGCTGACAGAGAGTTGGTAGCTCCATGGAAGAGATGCTAATAGCAGTAGTCTCATACTGTGACTGCTCTAGAGGCAGGAGCTTGAGCATGGTCTGGTCTCAGGCTCTGCTTGCTACCGAGCTGCAATATTGTATCTCCTGAGGGACAGTAGATACAACACCAAATGATCTAAAAATTGTACGAAAATCTTCAAGAAGTGAAGCCTTGATAATTTTTTTATTTCAATAATGTTCTCCCAGAGAGGCAAATTTTCTACTAAAACCTGAATTCCTCAGGCATGCTAAACTTTACAGCTGAGAAGACCTTCCCATTAGGATGGTAGTGCTTGTTCCAGCTCCATCTGTTCCCCACAGCATCCTCCTGGAGAAACCAGCTGCCCATGGTTTGGAAGGGTGTACTCTCTGCTGGATAAAGAACTGGCTGAATGGCCGAGCGCAGAGTGGTGCTGAATGGAGTTAAATCCAGCTGGCGGTCAGTCATGAGTGGTGTTTCCCAGGGCTCAGTTTTGGGTCTGGTCTTGTTTAACATCCGTATCAATGATCTGGATGAGTGGGTTGAGTGCTCCCTCAGTAAGGCTGCAGATGACACCAAGTTGGGTGGGAGTGTCGATTTGCTTGAGGGTAGGAAGTCTCTGCAGAGGAATCTGGGCAGGCTGGATCAATGGGCCAAGGCCAACTGTATGAGGTTCAATAAGGCCAAATGCTGGGTCCTGCACTTGGGTCACAACAACCCCATGCAATGCTACAGGCTTGGGGAAGAGTGGCTGGAAAGCTGCCCAGTGGAAAAAGATCTTGGGGTGTTGGTCGACAGCCGGCTGAACATGAG